TTCTATCGGTGAAAAGCCAACATTGGCTCTCGTACTGGGATGTCGCGCTACCGCAAAATTGCGCATACGCAGACGTGAGTAAGCAGAATGGTGCACAAGCAGACAAGCGTACGCAGGACAGTGCCCATGCTGACGTGCCTCTGCAGAATGGTGCCTAGGCATAATCACGCCTGCGCAGAATCGTGCCCACGCAATTGTTACCATGCAGAATCGTGCTCACGCGGATGTGCGTAGGCAGAATACCGCCCAAGCAGAATACCGCCCAAGCAGACATGCGTACGCAGGACAGTGCCCAAGCTGATGTGCATTTGCAGAGGGTCCTGCGGGACATCATCGTGCCTTTGGCCGAGAACCTCTCCACTTACGGCGGAAGCGACCGGGAGTGCCTGATTGAGAGCGTCAATCAAGGATGGACACTCTCCCCGTTCATCACTGTCGAACTATTTCGGCTTGTCGAATGCGAGGAGGAAGTCAATTGCGAGAACCCCGTATTATCGTCTCGCACGATCACCGACTTGTCGGAATTTACTGTCACTTCACAAGGATTTGATCGTCCATGGGTCACTTGCCGTCTCAGTCCGATTTGAAGTCACTCTGCTTCCCGAAGCTGGCCTGCCCCCCGAGTTTGAGGCGGCCACTAAGCAGGACGAGGAACAGGGCAATTCAAGCGAACGAATGCCAACTCCCCAGGCGCTCCCTTCACGGCCTCGGCCTCAGCAGAGAAGACGAGGTGGTCTCAGCGCTGGGATTCACGCAACTCTGCAGACAACGGTACATCACTTTGGGAAGTTACACATCGGCAGTCGTACGCGAGCTGTGAATACACACTGCTGATTGTTTGTTCTACTATTGCAGGAGTATATGTGTGAATAGAGAAAGTCGTTACCTCTAAACAGTGACCGTCGTCACAGATGTATCGGAAATCCCTCGCAACATATGTTACTGTCGCTTTGGCAATCCGCTTGCTAAACGCACCTTTGACACAGCTTACCTCTCACGATGTCAACGCCAAACCGCTCGCTGCCCGGCTGGGTGAACCCGAGCGCCCTTCGTTGTTGAGTGGGTCCGCAGCCGCGCCCCAGTCACCTCCACCAGCTGGCTCGAGCCACCCCGGAGTAGGCATTGTCCCTCCTCTTGCCTGCCTCGCTAACATAAGCAGCACGAGGCAATTCGGTCTATCCTGTTCACCGATCATGAGCAGTTCCAAGCTCTATCGCCCGAGATTCAGCAGAAGGTCTTGGCGGCATTCCCGTGGCTCGTGCTCTCTGAGGAAACACAGGGAAGACTCAATCTGAAGCGACGCGCAAAGCAGGCCGAAGTTCACGCAAGGCAAGCCGAGACTAACTGGTTGGCCACGGCCATACGTTCAATGGAGGATGGCGACAGGGATGCTATTGAATTCCTGCAGAGCGTTTTGCTGAGTGATGACGATGAGCGCGACTGGCTTGCCCTGGGGTTAGACACCAACTGAAGGGCAGAGATTGGCGAGGGGACGTCTGGTGGTAGAGCCATTCATTGTGCGTGGCCAAGATAGCTGGAGGAATTGGCGTTATCACAAAGGTGGCGATGAGTAGCCTACATGCCTACGTCTCGAGAATGAAATGTGCAAGTTCAAATTTCAGCATAAGTTGTCAATTAGACTGCGCGAATGGTGAGATGATGTGGCGAAGCGTGAAGACTGATTTGTGCAAGTCGCAGTGAAGCGCACCCCACTGCGAACGACGCTGGCTTCGGCGGGTGACTGACACCTCGTCGAACTCTACTGTAAGCGGTTCGCGGTGCCGCGGAAGGTAACGCGACTACATAGGAATTCGAAATTGGTCTCCATTACAAACCCCGGGCGACGCCCTCCGTGGTGACAGCCACAGCTCAAGCCAGAAACTGCTTTTTACGCTGTGATCATGGTTCAGATCCATGTTGCATGATTAGTCACGGGATTGGGTGCCAGGGTGTGTCAAAGGTATCGCGAGACAAGGCTTCGCCATGACCCCCGTCGCCCACACAGCGCGACCTCTCTTTCCTCTTCGTCGCGCAACGTCTTGTATCTAGAAAGCCATGGCCCTCACATACCCCAACATTCACTATCGGCGGTGATAAGTGCAGTCTTGGTTGCGTGTCACTTGATAGCTACTTGGCTGCACACGCAGCTTGTACCTCTACGTCCGCCTGTTGATCACTCTTCGTCTAGAGTCATTAACCGGCACTGCACTCATCGCTGCCATTTGTAGATGCTGGGTTATGCAACTTGGATCCGAACAACGAGCACAGTGTAGGAGCAATTTCTGGACTTTTCTACGAATGTCATCCAACAAAGCACTGTCGTAGTCTGCTGTACAAATCTGGTTTTGAGGTGTGCTACATACGACTCGCACTGTGGCATGCCATTGTTCGTGGATGGTGGAATCAATTATTTCGGCAGCATTTGGCTTTCTAGATTTGCAGGTGAAAGAGCGAGATAGGACTGTTGGCGCCAGTTGTTTTCAGCCTTCGCATACAATCGAAGCCTAGATCTAGGACGCTACTGGGACGTCCGCAGACAACGGTGGATAAGTTCGGACGCACCGAGGACGCCCTATGGACGTCCATGGCCAACGGTGGACAAGTTCGGACGTAATGAGGACGCCCTTGGGACGTCCACGGACAACGTGGGACAAGTTCGGACGTAATGGGGACGTCCTTGGGACGGTCCACGTACAACGGTGGACAAGTTCGGACGCACCGAGGACGCCCTTTGGACGTCCATGGCCAATGGTGGACAAGTTCGGACGTAATGAGGACGCCCTTGGGACGTCCACGGACAACGGTGGACAAGTTCGGACGTAATGAGGACGCCCTTGGGGCGTCCACGGACAACGGTGGACAAGTTCGGACGCACTAAGGACATGCTTGGGACGTCCACGAACAGAACACGTAGATGCGAGAATGATGACACAGATCGATCGTACCTCGAGGTCTCCGTGCCTTTGGGCCCGCTGATTCAATGACAGTAAACCCAAACACTTCCGTCCGAAACAGGCGGTACGGATAAGCTAAGACCAGTACAAAAGAACCAGGCGCCGGAGTCACGTGACGAAATCACTTACGAGAGCCAAATAACGTGTCTAAACCATAGTATCCCCCCGAGAAAAACATCTACAACAGCGAGCACGAAATTTTTGAAAACAGCACCAAATTGATCGAACCACGCCCGCCCGCGTCCGCAGAGGTAATTTGGGGCACAATGCCATCCTCAGCATTGATTCTGTATCCAGAGGGCCTGCTCGTGGCCGCGGGCGGGCTCTGACCACGAAAGATTTGAGAGCAAGCCACAAAGCACGACGTGTCAATAGACAACACCATCGCCACCTCCGCTGGCCGGTCACGGGTTATCACGAGAAGCACAACGACCGCGCCCAAACACATCAACACAACAGCCACCGATAGGTTATTGGTCGCCTTATCACCCTCGACAAAGTTTGCAACGTCCCGCGACAGCAACGACGACGAGCCCGACAGAACGGCATCACCTCCTGCACAGAGAAAGCACCAGACACTAGGCATGCTACGATCGGTGCCGCAAAATACCGCAGATTACAGACAGATTGGTCGCCTGTCGCCCCCTCCGCGAAGAAGGATTGTCGCCCCTTCAACGTACGACAATGTCTGCGGAACCTGTGCACGAGCTCTCATACTCAGTAATCGGACGAGTCGAAGCGGTTGGAGCATTGTGTTTTGCGAATCGAGCCCGACTTCAGGCGGTGGACGGCGGTGGTGGTCGAAAGATGGAAACATAGAGCCACATAGGAACCCAGCAGGAGGCAGCAAAAAGATTTAAAGATCAACTGAGATACGGTACAAGTGAGTCTGAGAGGATACGGACAAGAGAAACAAGCGAAGCCGAGCGCTGGGGGGAGACTGTAGGTACGCGGAACCAGACATGGTGGTAACCACCAACAGAGCCGAAGCAGGAAGACGCGAAAGAGGGACGCGTCGGCTGTTGGCCAAACCTTGCTTTCCGGGCATGGCTACTGACTAAAGAGCGGCTGAAACCGAGTAGGAATAAATCAATCAACCAGGGGACCTAAACTAGTCATTTCTCAAATCAAGGAATTGCTCTTCCAAAGAGTCGGATTCGGCTAAGCACACCGTGGGCTGTTGATGGCGGCGATTCTTCAAGACTTTTAGACAGCTGGTGACAGCTGGTATGGACGCATGTCTTTCTGTCCCAAGGGCCTTAAGCTTGGGGATGATCCACAATACAAACGCCTTTTCAGAACGCGCCAGCCTGACACGGGAGCCAATTTGGCTCCTGTTATGCACGGACCCGGTCACAAAGAGACCCACTTGGCCAAGGGACACAAGCAAGAAAAAATGGATGTTGCTGATTCCACGATCTAGTCACCCAGGGAGTCACAACTGGCGCAAGCTTTTCAGTGTAGTCCGTGGGTAGCGGCCTACACCGCCCAAACTGCTGGTAACACAGATCCCATAGGCTGCAGGATGTGAATGGCAAGCTCTAGCGAATTACTGCTAATAGACCGCTGTTTTCAGGGCGAGCACTAGTAAATGACGCCCAGCCCCCAGCAGGTTACCATGCGGTCCTCTTAGGAGCTCAACGTCCTGTGGGCTTACCGGTAACCGGGCTGGCAGGGATCACTGCGACTGGCAGGGCAGTCAGAAACACGACCCTCCAGTAGGACCGCCGGCATAGGCGCTTCCAGGTCCCCTTAGCTGAACGCTTCGGCGGCGCTACCAGTCAGATGTGTATTTCCAGACGGGCAGGCAGGGAGATCCCGGAGTCTCTTGCGAGTTGAGGGCGGCGGACTGTGGGCACATCTTCCGCGGGGCGTGGGAAACCATTACCAGTATAGGCGCCGGTCACGATGGGGTGGCGACACACCTTGCGTGCTTACATTGGCAGGGGTGGTCAAATGTGGGCTCCTCGGATAGCAACGTCAGGAATACACGCTGCATCGACCAGCAAGATGCGTCACTAGGGACCTGCTGTAAAGCGTGGCAGATTGTAGAAAGGTATGTATTGACGGCCCGTAGTAACCGCTTTGCTTGCTGAACCGCAGCAAACGGCACATTCGTATTCGCGGCCTTTTGGGACCGGGCGTCTTCATCATACAGAAGCCAACGCAGGCTGTGATCACCGTTGGATGAGTTAAGCAGTCGATGATATATCCGACCCGAGACAACGACGTCAGCTGGCACGCCAAAATGGAGAAGCCCTTCGGAAGCTCCAATCGCAGAGAAAGCGAAAAGGTAATTCAAGCGGCGGCTGATAGCTGATAGTGGCAAGGTCGTGGTATCAATCCAACTCTGAAAGTACGGTGGGTACGGTAGGAGCTTAGAGGCCATTCGACTGCTATATACACAACACCAGCCTGATTTCTCAGTGGACAAAAGGACAGCCGAGCAGAAGTTGCAGCAGCCGGTCCAGGCTTGGCGGAATGGTCGCACGCGAAGACGCCTCAGCTGAGGCCACCAATAATCATGTTCAGATGTATGCGACACAGAGCTTGGAATGTTGGAGAGCATCGTCTCTTCATTTGCAGGAGGAGGTAACGGCAAAGGCAAAGTGTCCGGAGCTGGACTATGACGAATTCGGGGACCTGTTGACCTGGATCCTCGGGGATGAGTCTAAGAGAAACTCAGCATACTGTACAGTGTCTTCGTATATGTAGAGGGCTCGACGAAAGAAAGGAAAAAGGAAGGTTACCTCGACGGGTGGGTTTTCAGTTGTCAAGGCAGCGCTAAGGATGTCGCGGTTGTTCTGTAGGCGCTGGGTTGCAGTACGCAATCGACAATCGTCACACATTCGATAAGCGGATGAGGACCAAGGCCGAGAACACCGAATGCAGAGGCTGCTTCGTGGCTCTGTGTCGGCGGCTGAAGGCTGACTACGACGCGTAGCGAGGCGAATTCGACAATCATCACATGTCCGGAACAGCGCTGAAGTCCATGGTCTTCTGCAGGTCGAGCAAGTTGAGGGGCCTTCCATGGTCGAAGAAGCAGTGAGACGATTGCGACGGCGAGCGGTGGATTGGATTTTGCGGCAATGGTGGCATGTCCGATGAACAGCGGATATCCATGGTCGCTTGCTATCAGTGCACTGAGATTGGGGTGGATCAGGAGGTAGTTCAACTTGCTGAACTTGAGAAATGGGTTGAGAAATCGGCGGGGAAATTGGGGTCGGCGCAGATTGAGCAGGGGAATTCTGCGCATTCAGGGAACCAAAACCGGACAGTTTGGAGTGCTTCTTCCGAATCTTGCGGGCAGCATCTTTTGCCCTGCAATCGGAGCAAGTCCGGTAAGACCCCGAAATACCAGAACTCCAAGGTCGTTGGCACCGAGTACAGATAGAGGAAGGGGTGTCTGGCATGAGAAGAGCTCAGCGACATCAGATGGCTGCGAAGTGGTAAAGTGGTAAAAGACCGTAACGACGGAAAATTGTTAAGCTGACAAAGAAGAATAAGGTTGAAATACAAAGTGGAGAGGGATGGCAGAAATCGCGGTAGGCGACAAATGTGGGGTGATGGAAAGTTCCGTCTGACATGCTGCGGCCAAAAACCAGATCTGCCTAATATGTTTAAGATCAAATGTCCTGTCCTAGCTGCCTGACGCCGGAGTGGGTGGGTCAACTGTTATCCTTGCACACGGGTCGTAACATGGAGCCTGAGACTGATCACCTTAGTCTCTGAAGACCTGATCTACTACAGCCTACGACCTACGCCCCAGACTTACGATACATCTGATTACAGCGTCAATCTCCAACTTCTGTCAGCAGACCCTACTGTCGGATAGCTGACCGTAACACTCTGCTCCATCTAGATGATTCCAGTGAGGAAGGGCTGGAGTAGTAGTCGGGTCGGTGACGAGCGGCGAATGCCCGGTGTCGTATGTTTTTTGCTGTTCAGCCCATCTTTCCTTTTGACCATTTCTCCTGCGCTCTTTTAGTCGCCGCTCATGTCGTCCATGAGATTCATCGCTCCACTGATCTCCTGAAACATGGTTAGCGATACCTTCCCTCCTTATTGTTTATCCTTGTGCGATGTACTGATGATGTCTCCCCTAGCAATCCTGTCTGCTTGTTCCACATCGCCGCCGATACGTTGTTGCTTCGTCTTTGGAAGTAAGCATCCTCTCCAGACTTGACAACATCGTCTAGTGTCCGGCTCTGCCGTCACCGCTACCGCGCTTGTCGTGTCCAAACCTCGAGCCATATGTATGCCAATCACCCATCACCTGTCGCATCAATTGCTCAGCCAGTCGGAAAACTGGCCTCCAGGATGGAGCGGTCGACGGTGAATAGGATCATGTTCAGAACAACCCCTACGGCAGCTTTATGGACATGTACCCTTCAAGTTCCGAAGACCGAGCAGAAGTTGAAGCGTATCTTCACTGCAAAAACACTCCGCTATCCAAGCCATCACGTTGACAACACGGCAGAAGGAAATGTCTTGAAATCGAGTCTGGTCCTTAATAGGTGGCTTGTAGCACAGTCAAGTCAACGGCACCCGCTGGGGTACCTGCTACTGCTGCGCCAACTAGGGCCATACCCGGAGCAGAGCGACGGTGGGTTTGCCGGGTTTGCCTTTGCTGGCCATCGTGTTCCAGATTTTGAAGCTCTTGGACCCCGCGAACGTGGTAGACAGTGTTCGGGGTTGTGTTGGCCTTTGGTCTCCTGTCATCCTGGCGTCTTCGGTCTGTCTTAGGCCATTGTTGCCCTTTTGTCTTTGCTTGGGACTACCGGCTTTTGTACCCAGACACCAAGCAGCTCGTGAGCAGGTGAGATACAAAAGATGCATCAAAGCTCGATTCTCTCCGCGGTTGGGTTTCATCATCCATGTCGCCTAAAAACCATCATGGAGCAAACCACGGCCATCGTCCTTGCCGCCGTCCTTGCGGTGAAATGTTCGCCGCAAACCTTTGTTGGTTGAATCTGTTCCGGGTTCTTCATCCTTCGCTAAAGTTGATCTCTCCAAGTCGGCCGGACCGAAGAACCGGATATTGAAGGCGGAGTCTAGTTCATCACAAGGCCCTATCCTTCACTCAGAGTCCCTCGTAGTAGTATACGACTGGGATGACATCTGCGCTCAAGAACCACTTGACTTTGACGCAGATGCTCCTTCCATATAGCAGGACGTATCCCGTAAGTCTGTGGTTAATATGATGCAACATGTTAGCTCGAGGAGACAAATCCCGCCGGCGTATTGTATTGGCGAACATGGAAGCAAAGAGAATCCCGCGTTTGAAGCTAGATTCTGGCAAGAAGAGTCGGATGACGCTCCATGAGGCAGCCTCAGAAGACCGGCAAGGAAGGCAAGAAGAGAAACACGAATGATGTTTACTCCCTGGAAAATGCTCCTTCTTCCCCGGATTACCCCGTACTGAATCACATTCATTCGAGGAGCAGAGCTACGCGTGGTATGAAGACGAGAGCCTGCGCCGAGGATCCCGACGACGGGCATGCGATCAGCCCCATCACCAAGACATTCAAAGGCATGCAGGCAACCACAGCCGGCGCGGCATGTACTAGGGGTCGCTGTCACGGGGCGCTATGACGGAGGCCGTGGCGGAGGCAGCCGCCGAGGAAGCGTGGACTGGGGCGGGCGTTCAAGCAGAGATTTGCCTCATAGATAGGAGTATTCAAACCAAAACGTAGATCAGAATTGAGACATGAAGCGCATGAACTTCTCAGATGGAAGCCAATACGCAGAGATCAGACGCACACCGAATTGCTTCTAGCACCATTCTATGCCCCCCATCGCGGCAAAGTCATGGCAGCATCTTTGGATCAAACTCTGCGAGTCAATGGGATCGCATTGAAAGACCATGCTGGAAGGCCTGTTAAATGTGAACATGAACTGAAGACGGGACTTGTGGTGGTTAGAGAATGAAAAAGCTTGGGCGCAGCAAAAACGCGTCACGATGGCAGATAGGCAAGGATTTCTAGGCCTCGCAATGTGGACGACCGAAAAGATTGAGACCGACGATGCCAGGCCGAGTTTTCCTAGAACGACTTTCCCTCTCGGGGTGTACTTGAAAATGCATGTAGTAAAGATTCAAGTGAAATGAATTGGCGAAAAGGCGCGAGGCTGGTCGAAGGCGTGGGTTGTGCGGATGTGATGTTGAAAGAGATGATTGAAAAGATGATGAAGCGAGCGGAACGCTGCGGCTACGACTTTGGCAAAAAGGAGCACCAGAAGATATTTCATGAGGGAATCCAGCGTGCCAGTGTTGTTTCGGGACAAATCTCCCCGCAGCGTCGCTGATATGCAGTTCGCTGAAGAATTGGAGGTTGACTTTGGCATTCATGCGGCAGTCTGCAGCGACCCCGCTTGTCTGTGCCCGCTTTCCGTGTCTGTGATGAACTAAAAGGTCGGAGTGGTTTCGCTATTCCAAGTCGCAAGCTTTTCTTGGTTGTGGAAGTGTAATTAGGTTGTGGCGGGATTTGGCAAGAGTCAGGCTGCGAAGAGCGCGGGTTAGTTTTGTATACCCAAGTGGAAGGAGAGAGGGATCTCAAAAGATTACATTGTCTTGGAACGTACTTTGAACAGATGGAGAGCCAGCGAGTGACTGGCGTCCATCTCTAGTTGTGTCCGACACCCCCAGAGGGTGCGAAAGTGACAGCCGGATCACTTGGCTGTCCCAGATTAACTTGATGTTGTCGTCCGCATCTCTTGAGACTTTGCATTGTGGAAAGCCCCGATATTGCCAGCCCAAAGGGCAAGAGAACTCAGCCGTAGATGCGGCACTTGGAGACCACGGAGAACCTTGGGATGCGGCAAAACACGTCAGAGCAGGAAGAGGAGACGACGACGCGCTTTGTGAGGACGATGGCCTTTGAAATCGTTGGATCCGGTGCAAGATGAGTGGTGTGAGGAGGTTGAATCGGATCCAATGCGTGATTAACTAGGAATGATGGAAATGAAAGCAAAGCTTCACATGGCAAGTCATCGTATCAAGTAGTTCCTGCCCCGTGTTGACGAGGTAAGGTAGGTGCAGACCCGCTTGTACCTGCCCTAGGTGAGAACAGCGCCTCTCGAGGCAAGCCCTTCCTTCACAGTCTTTTGTCCCTTTATTTCCTCGTTCCAATGGATGCTTCTGATGACCCTTTCAACCAAGTCTCCTTCCCACAACGCCCTCATCCGCCGCGCCTCTCCAGCTGATCGACCGACGCCAACATGACCGACCGCATGGGTTGGGGGCCCTCTGCTTCCGCCTCAAATTCTTCCGAAAGTCTCCGTGAGACCTCTCTTCCGGGAGCTGCAGCCACTGCAGGGATCGAGGCTTCTCAACCGCAAGTCTTGCGATGCTCCACGTGGCCGTTTCAATTGATGCTGACCACTCCGCACAGCAGGCTGCAATCTTCCGATAGTACCAGAGTGCCGTCCACATCAGACACGACAGCGAAAGTCACGCGTGCGACAACCTATTCTCAATGTGCTGTCTCCAAGAGTCCCAGTGCCAGCCACATTCACGTCAATGACCAGCATACCAATGCTATCGATGCTGCACCGCTCAACACCGCTGCCCAAAAAGAGGCCGGCATGGATAGCCTCCCGGCTGCGAAGAGCACTGGAGACATCCACAGGGCCAATGATAAACAAAACGACAACGACCTCCAGAAAGCCACCCGCCTCCCATCGTCGGACAAACGACTGGCAGAAGATGCTGTTGACGTCAGCACACCATGGGATGGCCATGGAACGCCAGCTCGTTTCAACTAGTCATTCTTTGAATCTGGTCTGAGTCTTAGATGGCCGCGGCGAATTTAATTTGCTGTCCCTGGTACGTTCTTGGAGTGGGGTGGACGCAATGTGACGGGGAATGGGATCAAGGTCTGTGGTCGACTTGGTATACCAGACCAAGAGGGTGGAATCAGACTCAGAAGCCGATCCGGTATTTGAAAAAGTCGAGAGCCCGCAGAGAATAGAGGATCCATGACTGTTACAGAATCTGCATGCCGTGTACTCGTGAAGTTATGCTCTCTTTCAAGGCGAATTGACTTCTCGAAAGGCTCGAAACGAACCCTGAGGAGGTACTCGCGCGAGAGGCTTCGAAATATGCCCCCCGTTAGCCACAACTGAACATACGAGAAGTATGGCGCTGTTGATCAGCATGGTAATTGAAGATGGCCTCTAATATAAGTCGCACCCGACACTCGTTTGGCCGGCACGATCATGGTGACGGAAAAAAAACACACATCAAAGAGTCACTGTGCTGCCACACGTTCTTTGCTTGTGATCCTTCTGCCTATGTGAATGGTGCCTCCCTCAGCACTCGTTGTTACACCGCAATTCGCATCTGACCCCTGCTTTAGATTCATCGCCCTCAGATGGGATCGGCTTTTGGAGGCTACTAACAGCACGGTCGACGTAGTGTCAGTGGCAGCATTAGATGCAACTAGAACGGGTACGGAGCAAAAGGGGTCACACAGCATGGTATCATTATGAATGGGTTCACATCGGCCTTTTGGAAACCTGCTTCTCCTCTGTCTGGTAATGCTCTCAAGGACTTGGTACCTTTGCTGCCCACGTTTACCCTCTCAGCTTCATCACATCTTTGCTTTCCAAGATTTCCTTGCTTCTGATTGATGATGGCGCATGTTTGCCACTCAACCAAAACCGAAATCGTTGCCTCTGTTTGGCTGGACAAGGGTCAGACCGGGATTCATCCACGATATGCCCAATCTAGTCAAGCTCAGCTGTTGAACTGCGCAACGAACCCTTGTATGACTCCCGCTTTCAGGCCTTCTACGCAGAGAAGCTTACAGGCGTACCTGGCGATGGTCGGAGGCGAGGGGGGGAACTGAGCTACCGTGGGCTGTGACGGAGCCCAAGATTAGTTGTCAGTATCGTGACTCTTGGGTAAAGAAACAAATAATTGAGAGATACGATGCGTGTCGACTACCTCGAAACACACGCTGTCGGTCATTCTTACCCGTGAATACCTTTCCGTCCCGCGAATCCCCAACTTCGCAACCTGTTTGGTTCCACAGGAGAATTGAGAGAGCCAATAGACCACATAATTTCAACTGTTGCGAACAAATCTTGACTTTACCAGACTCTCTTGAGTCAGTATATAAATAATACCACTACTCTAATGAAGCAAATTCTTCAACTATGATTGAACGGAAGCTTATGGTTTGCACTTTGACTTTGAAGGCAGTCTCAGAAAATGAACCTGAGATACTATTTGCTGATATTGCCCTCAAAGTCATGGGGAGGACCGCAGAAGGTGGCTGCCACTGCTGAACAACTGGGGACCTGTCTAGACTTCCACCACTGTCACCCCATGCCCCAAAGCTTTGGCGAGGGTTGCGTTTCCCCTCTGTTCAGCCGGTGATGCAGATACTTTCGAGACGAAATATGACGTTGGTGCGCGGCTGGCAGTTGTGAATCACGCCGATAGAGCTGGTTCCAGGGCAAGTTGACGAATGATTCGGCTACTCGAGTCAAAAGATTGGCAAACCAATAGCAGATACATCATGCTCACACGCATCGTACCGCAGAATTAGGCAAGCAACCGGCTAATCCCACAGGAAAGCAGAGGCCGTTATGTCACCCCGGTTGTCTCGAGACAATCCAGCGTGCAGATGCCTGACCCGCCCGGGTCTTGACATTTCTCATTATGCACAATGCGCCTGATTATAGACACTTTAAATTTCCAGCGCAAGCGATGATTTGCGATTGAGAATTAGGTCAGACGGCGCTCAAACCTTTCCTTTGGCAAATAGAGACGGCTCTTCAAATGCCAGGGCATCGGCCAGTCGAGGACCCTGATGGATCACTCGGAGGCACATCGCCCAGCTGACAATGTGGAAGACTCGAAAAAGAGAGAGTGCAGCTCGCCTCACCCTGATGGTATTGCTGCTGGAAAGGGAGGCGTATTGGTCTCGAGATGTACGTAATTGTCACTTGTGAGTGGAATGGTCATACGTCAAGATGAACATCTATCTGATTTTTAACCGCTGATAAGCATGTTGGGAATAGTGGAAGGGAACGATGAACGATACCAAACTGAGATACTTCCAAAATTGAAAGGCTGGTAAGGAAGACCGAGAACCCCTCTAGCTAGTTGGAATGCGTCGCCATGAGCTGCGCGTGTTGTGTTGCCACGGGGAAAGTGCACCTTGGTGCTCCATCGAGTAAGGTTCGACGTTATTTGGAAACACCATAAAGATAGCAAAATCGTAAGCCGCGTACAGATACACTGAGCACAGGCCAGATGTTCTGGTTTTCACGAGGACTGCTTAAGGAATCACCCAGGAGTTCGACGGGGAGAAACCCTTATTTTCCTGAAACAGTCCAGTGCAGATCAAGAGCAAATTGCAGGCATGACCCTCAAGATTACCAAAGCATATTTCGGAGCATATCCATCTTGCACATCGTCATCATGAGGGTTCTCAACAACAGCATCACTCGCTCGTGATCACTCATGACCCGTCATGCTCGATCGGTTCTAATACTACGAGAACGGTGATTTCCGTCTACTCAGCCGATATCCGCAATGGAAATGGCAGCTGTTTACTTCATCGACTGCTTATACCGGCGACGATGATGTCTCATGTTGATTTGTTGTTTAGTGCGCATTGCATGACCCAGCCGCTGTCGGAGACGGATGTGAAAAGCAATCATGGCGATCTGCCGATGTTGCACCCCTGAGTCTTGGCATCAATACGTCAAGGAATGCTCGGTTGTACGTGTTCTCTAAATCCATTATCGCATCAGTTGGCATAATGCCGGAATGTGTCTTCCGCTGGTAGTAGTGCATGCATTTGATCGCTGGGTCTGGGCGGATGTTCCACGATCCTGTGCTTGGTTTTGGTGGTGTGGATATGTCACCAACTCACCATCACTGGCCCTCAACTCGACGCAGCCATAGGCCGGCTGTCAGAAGAAAGGGAAGGCGTCGACGAGAGGTCCATCGATCTTTAATATCCACACCGCCTAGCACCCAGTCACACACGCACCTGATCGAGAATTTGCACCTCGGTCGCACAGTCCGCCAGCACAAGGGAGTTAATTTGCCGTCTTTTCGTCAGCCAATCCAATGTGGGAGACAAGGGAGGTGCTCGAGAAAGACGTACGTTCCTGGAACATGGTAAAAGCGCCGGAGGGGTCTTGACGGCAAGTGCGGAACGTGGATCTACCACTATTAAATAGTCCGGGGACATGGCGTTTTATCATGTCGCTGATGGCGTGGTGGGATGCAGCACCAAGCCGGCCTTTCTCAGCGCTTTGCATCCAAGCATGGAGCATTTGGATGCCGGGCGATTTTTTCAAAAGTACTGACCTCATCACACTAGGTCTTCTCAACGATGCGGAATAGTGGCTTCATGGGCAAGGAGGCTGTATATCTTGATGGCGGCACCGTGGAATCCGAACATGAAACCAACGACGGCGTGCTGGGTAATGTTTTGGAGTAAACGTGGATGGGGGGTTTTGTGGCCCGAGACTCTGGAAAGCTTGTCCATTGCTGCTGGGAGGTTCAATGGTCTTCGCAATGGCGTAGTGACTGTTGATTCTGCAGTTCGTGTTGGTCTAGACTTTGGCGAGAGTGTGCGTTGATGGAAAGCGCTCTGTGATACTGGTTGAAAATGGCACTTTTTCCAGGAGCAAGATGGTGTTGGGTGAAAGGGCGCAAAAAGCACGCAGAATTGATGTCTATGAGGTACCAGGTGAGGTCACACTGAAGTGGAAACGCTGCAGAGGCAACAAAGGCTCACAGTGTTGCGAATACCTTAATGCACCAGACCTTCCAGGCTGATAAAAGCAGACGGGGCTGTGAACTGCAGCCCACCTGCCTGAAGAAAACTGCTTCCCCAGGCACCAGCATCATCAGGTGACGTCAAGTCTCAATCGGGAGAGACCGAAGGATTGGTGCTTTCCTCCAACTGCATAAGTGTCAGGCGAGGATGTTGAAGCGGCGGTGATGATGGCCGGGAGAACCGAGGTTGGTGTGACTGAATGCGCTTGGTGCAAGTTGCAGATGGTGAGGCGGGATAGAAGAGGGAAGTAGGAAAAATCACGAAATCAGGGATGGGTTGTGGAGACGGGAGGGAGATGCGAGGGAGAGAGCATAGAAGGAGAGCCTCAGAAGCTTCGACACGACGGAAGCTACCACTCGTGTGGGAGCTTTCTCTCCGCGCTTCAGCGTCCTGCTTTACGTAATCACCCAAAAGCTCCGACCTCAGTGGGAGCTTTTGAGGATTCCAGCGGAAGGAGGGACACTACAAAGGTTGCCTTTCACGGTACATGCAAATAAGTCTAGCACGGGTCACCAGGTTGCTACCTGTTCCAAGGTCTTAGGGTATTCGAGAGGGGATACTGTCCGTCGCATCAAGAAATTCTCTGGGGGCTTGGTGAAGATATGAAAAAAGGCCTACTTCAAGGTTAACTGGTTGGGACAGCGGGATTGAGACTCGCTAAATGGTTGATGTATGCGCACCCGTATGCGTGTCCCCAACTATTGTTCCGAAGTGCCACGACACAATGAACTCAAGGTTGCAGGCCTTGAGACAACAAGTCAGACGTGTGTACTCACGGGCAAGGCCGGTAAGCGCATATATCAGTTTGCAGTTCATTTCAACATCCAAAATATCTTCGTTTGCGGCAGAATCGTCAAAGTTGCGATGAAAGAAGGCCGGCACTGATAAAGCAGTTGAGAGAATCACAGCATTAAGGTTCCGGAGCCTGGTTGCCTACCTACAGACTCGATTTGAGGGCTACTTGGGTTTGACATGAACAGAATCATTCGCACCTTGTTAGCTTCAAAAATTCCCAAGTTATCCTGTGTTACAAAATATGTGGGAGGCACAACGAAGCGAGTGGTAATGAGGGTGTGTGTGATGTAACTAGCTAAAGTGGGCTGCCAGCCTAGAGGCTGAAAGAAGAGCCCGGAAGGTCCTGGCCGCACAGGCCACCTGAGGCACCTGTGGGCAGGTGCCGCCACACAAGACTCCGTGAAACGAATAGACCGTCCGCGTTAACCATAAAGCATGCACTTCTTGAGAGAAGCGTTGGCCTCTTATAAATATAGCATCCGAGCTAATAGAATGCTTTACTAAAACTCTATTTTAGCTCTGCCGACTCTCTTGTCGTCCAGATGAACTAGTCAGTGTCCCAGAGCGCTGGTCCACTAGTGACAGCCGACGGGAAAGTTCGTCTCACGGTTATTAGCGCCAGAGTGTGAAAACTCGTTTCCCACGCGACCGGTTAAATTGCCTTTGCAGCCTGCATATCTTACTTATTTAGGCCCTTTGCTCTGTAACAGAAGCATCCTATTAGCCGCATCTCATTCAGCCCACGCTTAATGAAGAGTTAATCGCGCGCGACGAGTGCCTTATTTGGGCGTAATGGGGGCTTCGATCGGGTGTAACGAGGGCTTCAATTGCAGGCGGCGATGATCTCAATTGTAGCCAACGCCTACATGCCGACCTTGGGTTGACGCGCCGGCGGGTACTAGGCCCCAGGCCGGCAGGGGCCCACACAGGCAGGATATGCAAACATGGGATTATTACTCCTCATTTCAACCGATACATAACGAGATGTCATTTATTGCTATGTCCCCCCCCTATAACCGTCCAAACCGTCATTTTGATCAATGCCGCGATGTCTTCTAGCGATTCTGATACTTCTAATGCTTCCTGTGAAAGTTCCTAGGTTTAGCGTGCCTCCAGGTATTGCGACGGAACTAGGAACTGACGAAAGAGGAAGGCATGCCCTTGATTCCATCGGAGCGGACAAGGAACCTCCCCTGTCTAAAGTGAACTTTCGTATCATACATGGCCTGAAGCTCTTGCATCATGCCATTGATAGTCTTTCGCCAGGCCTTAACCTGCTTCTGGGTCATCCAACCCACGTTTGGCACGGTCCATTTAGGGTGTATCCGTTGATGAGAAAACGATATCTGGAGTCTGCCATGTCGTTTAATGAGCAAGTCGCAAAGAAAGCAAGCCGATTTGCTGCAATCGATGAACCGAGGGGTTGGTACGCATCGAACCCGCTCATAATGCAATAAGAGCTGCACCTACGCGTAGACGAAACAAAGGTTTGCCGTTCCATTTGGCAGAATAGGTGAGGGTGAAAGAAGAGGCTTGAGGGTGATCTGTTTGAAGATATTGCGATAAGCCTTTCTCATCATTATTTTGGCCAGGTCTCTGCTTAAGTTGAGATATCTGACAATTTTGTTGATCTGGGCAACAACCTTTCGTGCTGCCTCAGAGAACTGGTTCAGAGCAGGCTTGAGCTGTGACTCGAGTGACTTCTGTTCTGTGCCGATAGATGCGTTGGCGCAGCATTGCACTGCGATTTCTACGCGCTTGCGCAACTCAGGGCCGATTTGCTTTGATTCTAAAGGCTCTAAAGCCTCTAAGACATGAGTCAACTTCAGGTCAACCATGTGAAATTTTTTTCCTCGTAGTTTAGGAAGTAGCAACGTCGTCATGCGGTGGCGCAGCGATGTCCTTTTCAGTCTCTGCTTTGCACTCCAATGAGATGGTGCAGGGTACCAGGGCGGCATCAATCTCTGCAGGATTCGATTTTCACTAATCGCTAGTACTCCGTTGAAAAGTCGATCCTGTACGGCGCTTCTGTGTAGGACTTTCCAAGTCAGCTGCTGTCGAACCTCAAGCAAAATAGCCAACATACCCCCACTTGTGCAGCCCTCTAGAACCCCAAGTAGACCTCGTATACTTTCGACTTCCTCTGTTCGCTGCAGCTCTTTACGAGCGAGTCGTATGATAAGCCCTTGCTGGTCTGGCTGCTCCTCAATGCAAACTGCCGCTATCTCCGGAAATCCTTCGGAACTATGAGCAATCAAAGCAACATGGTCGGCCAGTTGCGTCTCGTCTTCGAGTCGTAGAACATGGCCAGAGGATTGGAGACCCCTCGGTATTGATGTCGGTATTCGGCTTCCTGGCGGGGGTTTTGCCTCAGCTTGCATACTTGGGCAACGGCTTGATGGAAATCAGTCTCATCATCGATGGTCCACAACAACGGCATTTTGGGGAATGTGGTTCTAATCTGGGTACGGGTGAATCAACGGAACCCGGTCTCTACTTGAGCGTTGAAGCTTTCTAATAAGAACTTCAATAGCGACGTCAGCAAGGGCTTGGGGATCGAATAGCAGGCGTTGGGCAAATTGGCGCAGGGCTAATGCGGGAAGCCGGATAACCAAGGCATGCCTGGACCAGCATGAATCGACAAGGGATAAGACGCGACCTCAAGGTCTGTTAGGCTAGACCGCGGGAAGTATTCCCATCCGGCATAGCTTTCCGTTGCATACAGGGACTTGCCGAGCAGGACCTTGGTTGTAAGTCGGACAGGCGTACCGGTACCAGCAATCCAGATAGCATCGAGTTGTCCCCACTTCAGTATCGGACACCTGAGATAGGATCCAACCGGAATCCTCTGAACATTGCACCTGGCCGGCTGAAAAGTTAATGGGCCTCCCGCATGTGCTTTGCCTCCGCAACCAAGACACGCATCGCCGTTTGTTCATAACCTGATTTGAGACCGCAGCAATGCTGTTCACCGACATGTCGACTTCTGTAACACTGGTGGAGATCCCGAGATGACTATGGCGTTTGAATGACGACCCCGAATACGATAATAGTATGAAGGCTATCAGCAGGTTGTATACCAAACAGCGCACCAATGCAAGTGCAGTCCCCTGGTATATGCATGCTTGCAGCCGGTGAGGCTTCCGACCCGGTACAGCCAGAAGGCCGTGTTTCTAAAGGGAGTGCATCCGACTGCGGTCCTATACGGCCCCGGCGAGACCTCAGTCACTGAATCGCATGTCTTCCCTACCGAGAAAGTTACAGATTTAACGCAGGCCGCGATATCTTTCGTACAAGTCAGCAACGGCAAACCTGGATACGTCGGCGACGTGAACGTCGAGGAGGGGACAGATGATGCTATTCTGGCCATGTGTGGCTTACTAGTCTAGCTCAGTTCAGCACACCCTCGGCTAGTGTAAGGGCAGTGTCTATGAGAATGGTCACGAGGATTTTGAGAATGGGCACGAGTATGATTGAATCAGACAACAGAGCAATATGGCAACATCTTCCTAAAGCCCTTGACGGGATAGGAGCTTAATGCATGAATTGGGTATCTATCATGTCTCGATACCGTCTCCCAATTGAAACACCGCGAGATATGAAGAAACAGCGATGATGAACTCCTATCGTCCTCGGCTACAAATAGCTTCTTCTTTTGGTCTTGCGTGTTGCTGTTGCTGGCGCAGCTTCATAGGAATATCACAAGGACTTCTACGTCCCACTTCGAGCGAAAGTCTACTCTATAGAATCACGACCCGATCAACCTACTTCCGACCCAGTCCACTTCTGTTCGCCATACACTGCTAGCCCTAGTTCAACGTTAGCCTCAGATTCTAATCCATATGCAGGTGATACGCGACATACACCCTTCATCTCTGCGCATGACTTCGGAGCCCAAGAGGATGACGAGGACGATCGACGCATTGTGGCCACTATGAGTTCATACTAACCGGGGTGCCGCGCAGCAGTTCTAAACGGATTAGCCAGGTGACGGAGGTCACCGACGGGAGGCCACCCAGCTTTAGTGTGCCAGCGTTAAACCAGGTTCCGGCCAAAGCAGAACCTGCTCACTGAGGAAGCGAAAGAGGGCGATAGCCAGGAAGTTTGCGTCTGGAAGGCAATGCACCTTGTAAATGGCGGACGAAAAGATTGTCTCGGCTGTCAACGGTATGTTGACGGTTTCGTGTCATCCCACCATGATTTGTAATGTTTCAGAAGGCTGAGCACCAATTCTTTTTTAATTTTTTTCGATCTCCAGCTGTAGCAGCTGGCGCTTTATGACCATGGTTCTTTGGAATGCCCGACCGCCATGCTCTTCCTTGATCTCAAGTCCGCATCCAATGACCAGGAGAATGAAAGCATTTCAAGGCATAGTATCTTACGTGTTGAAGACATCTTAATTGGTCAATACGATGAGTGACGTGGCTATTGGTATGTCACTTCTATTTTTTCTTAGTACAAGTACAACCCCTTCCATAATTCCCTTGTATCAATCAATACCGGTTTACTTCTTCAGCTTGGTACAGAAGTGGACTTGTAGCGACCCAAGAGACCGGCCTTGAAAAGACCCATTGAAACGGCTGTGAATCTCTTTCCACGGAAGACCCTGCCCTTTTAGCCGAGTAAGAAGTTCATTCTCTTGTTCTGAAAATGCACTCCTTGAACGAGGAGAATGCCTTGTAGACCTTGGCCTATCTGTTGATGATCTCGAGTTCCGACTTGCCGAAAAAGAATGTTGCGATTGTCGTTCTGCGGACGGCTGCTCCCACTGTAGTTGGAATGTTGTTACACATCCATCGGTCATCCGCTTGAGGACTGCATTCCCGAGAGGCCATTCATCATATCGCGCAAGGATGGTTTCGCAGTCTGTGTCGTCATCGGTAGAAGCATGAGAGACCGGCGGAGTCATGATTCCACTTGTTTTTGGTCGCTTTATGACCCGCTCTGACCTTCGTCTTGGCTCTGATGGTGATTTTGATGACGTGCCTTGTGCTTTCAGAGCTCTGCTGGTTCCAAAAGTCTCCTGGAAGTTTCTTTTGCGACATTTGCGTTTTGGCTGACTGCGTTGGTCAGAATTGCCCCCATAGCTCTGGAGCCCTGGTTGAACTCCACCAGCATTGGCTTGATCTCCGACGCAGTCATCGCTGGTTCGATCAGCGCCATCCTTATCGCTAGGGTCCGGCTCCGAATCGACTTCGGCATAAGCGCCAGCCGGTAGTCGTGATTTGCGAGCTCGGCGACGGACTGGAGATAAGGCCGCACGAGGAGTATCTGGTGCTATCGTCTCAGCATCTATATGCATTTCGTCCGCTGAAGGTAACCAATTGCTGGAATGAAACGCCGCTTCTGTGAGAAGCGGCTCGCTTTGGTTGGTTGAGCCTGGGCTACTTTCACTACCATCAACGTTTGGCATCGGATTGAGAGTCTCTTGTCCTGAGATGAGTTGGCGTATGTAATTTTCGGTGCGATAGGGAGTATCTTGACCCGGGGGTGCCAAACTTGAGTACGGCAGTCCAAGTTCGGTCAAAGATGGGCGTTGCATTGTATCGAACTTTTCGGCAGTCCGTCTCGGAGATCCTGAGGTCTCTCCAGCTTCCCCGCTGCTGGATGGCACGACTTGTTGACGTTGCAGCCAGGTAATAAAGTCATTATTGGCCGCTTGACTCCTTTGGGGCAGCTTCTCAGTGTAGGACGGAGCGGTTTCTTCAGGAGGGGTCTCAAAAGTGACCACTGATGCAATCTCGGTCGAGTGTTGAGGTAGACCCGGGTCGGTCGAGTTCTCGGCAACTTGGGGACCTGGATGCGAGGGAAACATTGTGACAGCGAAATTCCCGGACGGCAACGAGGGCAACGAGGCTGGCAGATCGTTGGCAGACCAAGCCACCAGCCCAGGCGAATTGTCGTGCGTGGTTAAGTTCACTGCCACAAGCTCCTCGGCTGGGCCGTGGCCCATATTGCCTGACGCTGGGCAGCGTTCCATCTGCAGGTAGCTCGTGTCTTTTGGAGTGACTGTGTCGTGAATCGTTGCCTCTGAAAGGGATCGGGATGACACGATTGGCTTTTTGTCACTTTGGCTCGTGATCTCATCGCGTGCGGTTGTCGTGTCGTCTAGAGAAGATATCGCGGCTCTTCCCGTCTTTGAACAGGAAAGACCGAGAGTTTGTCTTATAGTTCCATTGGCTGCCGATGGACGCACAACTTGCGCTGGAGCCGAGTAGAATGAAATGTTGTCAAGATTGATGGGCATTGTCGGTTGAACGTTGGGAGGGTCTAAAGATTTGATGTATGAGAATGGGAGTTTCTAAGGTTACCAGGCAGACGCACTTATTTAAGTAGTCGATCTGTAGCAGTGAGTCTAATACATCAACCCTTCCATGTCTGAAAAGGAGGACCGGCGAGCGCGCCAAGATTTACCCCCTGAACCCTAATTACCTGCGCATACAGCGTCTGAACAGTTCAGGCACATTTGTCCCCCGCTGTTCATAGATATTGTCGTATTGTTGCCAATCAGCAGTCACCAGGAATCTTCGCCCTTGTGGATGCCACTTAACCCGAGACCGGCCTCCCAAAGTCCCGTATGCATCTCTCGATAGTTCCCGGAGTAGCCGCTGGCCTGACAAGGTTTCAGAGACAACATCCGCGGCCTGGTATGTCATCGCGAGGACTAAACAGGCTGCATCGCCGTCTAGGCTGCCATTCCGTCGGTCCGAGGCATCATGCGTTGGTCAGGAGGGATGCTGGCCAGGCGGAAGCGCAAGGCAGACACGGATGAAGCCCGCCGTGCCGCAACCGTCGTGATTCATCCATACCAAGAGGCTGGTCCCCAAACAGGCATTCAGGGCGCGCATCTCAAGAGTCGGTCCGAATGTGACTAAGGAGCCTAGGAACGAAATGTTGAAGATCAGTCTAGGCTCCGAGTTCAAGGCGAAGTTGCCTGATCAACCCCCTTGCGTCACCAACTTGCCACCTGGCGATCAGGGAGACGGATTGTGACCGTCAGCGAGCCTAGGCCACTGGACGAGATACGTCCGATGCACCAAGTTATGCAAGACTCGGAAACTCATCGCGCAATCACCAAAGAGGAAGCCGGTTCCAGCAGCGCATGGCGGTGCTCTTCACTCTGCCTCTCATGGTCACACACTCAGCCCGGCCCTCATGCCCAGTTCACAACCGTCCAGACCACCTACTTTCCAGTCAGAACAAGTTCATAATATCGCAATGTGATTTGGAGTCAGACCTAGAGCAGACGCAGCCGGAAAGGGGGGCGCCCGGGTCGAATGAGGCGTCTCGACATAGGGAGAGCTGGAGGCGAGATCACGGCGCGATCGAACCAAGGCAGCAACGTAAGAGACAGGGTCACACCGCCCTCAGGCAAGGGAACGACTCAGGAGAAACAGGGAAGCCGAGTAGTGATTTTTTCGTGGGAGTATTGAGAGGGAAGGTAGATAGTACAATTGCCATCGTCGAAGGACGGCCGCGGCACCGTATTTATGGGCGCCGTCAATTGGCACGGGCAGGGGTGCACGTGCAAAGCGGCGTGGGCGCCATGCCCGATTGGGATATGCCGCCAAACCCGGAGGGGGAAGCAGCGACTTCTCGATTACTAAAACTAAGTACGTTTTTAAAAAAGCCTAGACTAAGCTTTATAAAAAGTTTAATAACTAACGCTTAATTTTTTAATATTTTTATATAATATACCTATTTTTAAAAATATAATAAGCCCGCTATTTTATTTAAAAATATTAGAATTTTAATATTTATATTATTTTTAATATTAAATTAAATAATAATAATATTAAAAATTATTTTTTAAACGGTTTTAATTACTTATATTAATTTATTAATATTATATAAAATATAATTAATAATTAAAAAATACGTTTTAAATAAATTTATATTAAAACTAAAATATTTATAAACGGGGAATATATAAATATTCGTTTTAAATATTTAAATAAACTTTTAATAATATTTTCTTTAAAATATTTTATATTAATTAAGAAATAATATTAGTTAATAAAAAAAGTAATACCGTTTAATAAAAGGCTATTTTAAACCCTTTTTAAAAATTATAATTTAGATTATATTATTTTAATTAAATTAAATATTTTATAATATTATAAAATCTATTTTAAAATAGTAAATTTAATTACTGTTAATAAATAAAAAATATACCTTTAGTAGCGTTTTTAAAAAACGTTTTTTTTAAATTTATATTAGCGGATTTTTATTTCAAAATTATTATATTTTTTTATAATAAGTTAAGAAATATAGCGTAACTTATTTTATTATAATTAGTTTTATTTAAAAAAGGCTAATTAGCTAATTAAGCCCGTATTATTTATAATAATTAAGGCGTAAATAATAAGTAACGAAGTTATTTATTTAAAAATAAAAATAAATTAACGTTAACTAAGTTTATATAAAAAATATATTAATTAAGTTAAAATTAGATATTAAGCTTATTTTAATAATAAATAAAAAGCTAATTTAGTATTTTTAATAAGGGAAGGATAATAAAGGATTATATAAATAAATAATTAATATAACTTAATATTTAAAAAAAACGGAGTTAATAAAAAATAATTCATAATAATAATAAACTTTTATAATTACGTTATAAAAAATAATTAAATAATAAGCTTTTTTAAAAGTTATATAATATTTATTTAAAATTTATAAAATTATAATATAAATAAATTATAATATATACTTTTAAAAATCATAAATAAAAGCTTAAATTAAAAAGAAAATCAAAATAGTTATATTAATATAATTATTTTTATTATTTTTATAAAGGAGTAATATTTTTTTAAATTGATTAAAAAGCTGTATAGCGACGCTAATATAGGAGCGACGCCGGTGTATTAATTTACGACGCTAGTATATTAATTCTTTTAATTTATAACGCCGGTATATTAATTCTTTTTTATAATTAAAAATAATATTATCGTTTTTTATTAAAAGAAATAAAGAAAAAAGATTATTGTTCTTCATTTTATATTATGTAATTAATAAAAAAGATATTATATAAAATAAATAAAAAAACTATATATTATTAATATTTATTAACTTAAAATAACGTTTAATATTATAAAAGTAACGTAAATTACGGATTTAGTTAAAAAAGACGTTATTATATTAAATAAATAACTAAGCTAATAAATAATAAATTTAAATCGTAAGTTAACTTATTATTTATTAAATTTAATTTTTATTAAATTTTATATTTTTATTAACGAATTGTTTATAAATAACGTAAATCTAACTTTTTAATTTAAATATAGTATTATTTCAATAAACGAAGTTATAAAAGACGACGAATTTACGATTTATAATAATATTATATATTATTTATAAATTAAAAATTAAAGAAGTAATTAAAAGCGTTTTAGTTTTTAAAATTTAGAACATAGTTAAAAGCGTTACTTTTATTTATACAATTTTTATTATATTTAAATAGATTATAAATTAATTAATTTTATTTATAATATTACTCATCCTTTATATGGACTTTTATTTATTTTACAAATATTTTATTAAATTAAATATTATTAAAAGAAAAGGTTAATAATTAATATTATAGCTTTATAATAATTATATAAACAATATAAAATTTTCAAAATTTATTAAATTAATTATAAAAATAACTTAATAAATGTTTTTTATTAAATAAAACCTAAATTTAAATTTAAAACAAATTATTAATAACGAAATAATTATAAAATATGTAAAAAAATAAGTTATAAAGAAAAGGCTTATAAAAAAAACGGAAAAAGAATTATAAATATTATTTTTATTAATATATTATACGCTATCGAGAGATTATTAAATTGTTTTTTTAATTATACAAGATTAATAATAAAAAAAATAAATTAATATTAAATTAAAAGCTTAATTTAACTTTAAATTAGCGTTAGCGTAGGGGCTATTTAAGGGTTTTTATATTAATATTTAACTAGTGATTTAACTTAGAATTAAAATTTCTCTTTTCTATTTTATGTAAAGATTAATATAAAAGTAATTAACCCTTTATTACTACGGTTCGATCGAATAAATCACCCTGTGATTACGTAAACTAATAATCTTAAATAATAAAAATAATCATAAAAGAATTTTATTAAAATATTAAATTAAAATATAATAATTTTAAAGCCGTCGGAAGCCCTTAGATAATCTTAAAAATTCGCTAGCTAATTTATAATAAATTATAATAAACTTTCTATTACTAATTAGACTTAAGTTTTAATTAAATAATTGCTAAAAAAAAATTATTAATAAAACCGAATTTTAATAATACGTATTAAGTCGGTAGCGCTATTTTAAAATAAGTATATTAACTATTTATTTCGTTAATATTAAATACTATTAGTTTACGTAATCACAAGGTGATTTGTTCGATCGAACCGTGGTAACGAAGGGTCAATTACTCTTATATTAATCTCTACGTAAACTGGAGAAGAAAGGTTCTAACCGTTAGTTAAATCGCCGATCAAACGCGGATATAAAGACCCTTAGATAGCCCCTATGCTAGCGCTAACTTAAGGTCAAATTAAGCTTTTAATCCGATACTAACTATCTCTCTTTTATTATTAAACTTATATAATTAAAAAAGTAATTTAATAATCTCGTAATAATATATAATACGCTAATAAAAGTAATATTTATAATTCCTTTTCCGTTTTTTTTTTAAACCTTTTTTATTTAACTTATTCTTTTATATATACCGTAATTATTTTATTATTAATAAATTATTCTAAGCTTAGGTTTAGGTTCTATTTAATAAAAACGTTTATTAAATTATTTTTATTATTAATTTAATAAATCTCGAGAATCTTACGTTATTTATATAATTACCGTAAAGCTATAATATTTATTATTAATATTTTCTTTTTAATAATATTTAACTTAATAAAGTATTTATATAATAAATAAAAATCCGTATAAATAATCGTTAATATCGTAAGTAAGATTAATTAATTTATAATCTATTTAAATATAATAAAGATTGCGTAAGCAAAGTCGACATTATTAACTATCTTATAGATTTTTAAAATTAAAACGCTTTTAATTACTTTTTTACTTTTAATTAATAAATAATAAATAATATTATTATATATTATAGATTCGTCGTCTCCTATAGCCTTATTTACTAAAATAATAATATATTTAAATTAAAAAGTTAAACTTATATTATTTATAAACGATTTATTAATAAAAATATAAAGCTTAATAAAAGCTAAATTT